GTATACACAGACAACCACAAACACAGGCACACCCACAGCCACACTCACACAAACAAACACACACACACACCAACACAAACACACACATACACAGACTCACACACACACACACAGCCTTGTGCCTGCCGTCGCTCCGCACGCTGCCCACTGCCCCCCATATAATACTCTACCAATTACACACACACACACATAACTGCACCACATAACTGCACCACATAACTGCACCGCCCGCACACTCCCTTACCCCTTTTCCCTCCCGCCCCCCGACCCCCGCGCCGACCGGCACACGTCGACAATGCTCCCGCTACATACCATGCTCATCCTCATCCTTACGCTCATGTCCATCTTCATGCCCATGCCCATCTTCATGTCCATGTCCATGCCCATGCCCATGCCCATGCCCCCACCACGGCCGGGAGAGCCGCGCTTCGCTGTCCGGCCCGCTGGCAAAATTCCATCCCCGCCCCTTGCATCCGGGCTCCAATCTTCCATCTTCCCATCTCCCATCTCCCGCCTTCAACACACCATTCCCCGAACAACTTAAAAGCCGGCCCCGCTATCCCGTCCCATCCATCTCTTCACCTCCGCCACAACCCATCTCATCCACCCCACGCCCTCAGCAACCCTCTCGCCCATCATGAACAAAGCAATCGCTGCCTTCGTCCTCTTTTGCTTGCTCGGCTCCGCCGTCGCCCAGCCCACCAGTGGTAACGGCCCTACAGATGCCGCAGCCTTCGATTCCGTCGCCCCCGGCAGTCCCACCTTTGTGGATCGTCTGAGGACCCCGTGTGACCCCCGCTTCCGTACCTTCGACGGAAGCTGCACTAACGATGCCACCGACATGAACCGTCTCGAAGGCTCCGCAGGCCTGCCCCAGTTCACCTACTTCACGCAGAGCCCGCCCAACCTCCTCTTCTCGGACGACCTCCCGTCCCCCAGGCTCATTTCCAACGCCCTCACCACCCAGACCATGGACGTGCGCGAGCCGCGCGGCCTGAACGAGCTCATCACCTTCTTCGGCCAGTTCATCGACCACACCCTCACCTCCACCCCGACCAACAATGGCAACGAGGGTACCATCGCCGAGCCCGCCTTCATCGACATCCCCGAGGACGACCCCATCATGGCCAACATCTCCCGCTCGTCCCTCTTCTTCTTCCGCTCCGAGCGCGAAGAGGTCAGCGGCGCCAGGGATATCGAGCGCCCCATCAACATCCTCACCTCCGCCATGGACCTCGACTCCGTGTACGGCCCCAGTAAGGAGCGCGCCGACGCCCTCCGCACCTTCACCGACGGCCTGATGAAGACCAGCGCCAACGACCTCCTCCCGCTCAACACCCTGGGCCTGTCCAACGAGCCCACCCCCGCTTCCAACTTCTTCGTCGCCGGTGACGCCCGCCCCAACGAGCACCCTGTCCTCACCACCATCCACACCGTCTTCCTCCGCGAGCACAACGACATCGCTCGCGAGATCAAGGCCGCCTTCCCGGAAATGGATGACGACGAAATCTTCAACAACACCCGCCAGGTGAACATCGCCCAGTTTCAGAGGATCGTCTTCGACGAGTGGTACCCCGCCATCACCGGACGCACCCTCCCCGCCTATAGAGGCTTCAGCCGCTCAGCTGACCCCACCGCCAGTATCCTCTTCACCACCGCCTCCTTCCGCGTCGGCCATACTCTTGTCAACAACCAGGTCACCCTCCTCGGCCCCGGCCTGTCCCCCATGAGCCCGCTCGACCTCACCATGACCTTCTTCGCCGGCGTGCCCCCGATCACGGCCAACGGCATTGAACCGTTCATCCGCGGTATCCTCAACACCGGCGCCCAGAAGATCGACCTCATGGTCGTTGACGCCCTTCGCAACTTCCTCTTCAGCAACATCGAAGAAGTCATCGGCCTCGACCTCATCGCCCTCAACCTCCAGCGCAGCCGCGACCATGGTGTGATGCTCTACACTGACGTCCGCCGCCGATTCCGCAGCGGCCGTGGCCGCATTGCCCGAAGCTTCGCGGATATCACCAGTGACACCAACATTCAGAGCAGGCTCCAGAGCGTCTACGGTGACGTCGACAATGTCGAGGCCTGGATCGGCCTCATGGCCGAAGACCACGCCTCTGGCAGCTCCATGGGCCCCACGATGCTTGGCATCTGGGAGGAGGAGTTCGGCCGCATCAGGGATGGTGACCGCTTCTACTACGAGAACACGTTCCAATATGACCCGCGCATTCTCGCCAGCATCCCCAGGCTCCAAGCCGCTCTGGACGGAGAGGACACCATGAGGGCCCTCTTGGTCAGGAACACCAACATCTCGCCCTCTGACATGCCCGCCAGGATCTTCTTCACCAACTAATTGTGTTACGGATTCCAAGGTTTTACACAAACACACATACGATATTCACTTTTTGACATTTTATTCAATTGTTACCGACCTCACCCTCTCCCCCTTTTCTTGCTTTTTGGGACAAACTACATACTTTTTCAAGGTATGACAAGTCCTCTCCAATGAAATAAAAAACCAGGAAAACGTTCTAACATATCCCGATTCTTGCAAAAGCACGCTCTATCTCTCTTGGGCACGCTCTTCATTTATATACCATACCATTTACTGCATCCCTTCAACCCGAAAAGGGAAAATGCATTTGCTGTGCTGGTGTGTAGTCTGGGGGTTTTCCTCATTCCTTGCGCATGTGCAAACTATATACTGTAGGAGGGATACAATGCATACAGTATGGCTCTCGCAAGAGCGACGATAAAACAAGGACCTCTAGCTAGAATTAACCAAAGGTAGTCCGTGAAATGTTTTTTCATTTGGCTACAAAATTGCTGGACGTAAAGTAAACCCGAGATTGAAAAATTCCGCCACGGGTTTTGCGGACTGACCTCCAGCAGGGTGCCTACCCGCAATAAACGCAAGTCTGGTACAACGTTGTGGCGCCCGACGGATCACGTGCACCTGCGCTTTTACTCGCTGAAGCGAATACTGTAGCACGCCACAAGGATAAAATGGTTCTCAGTCGAAAGAGCGATGTGTTTCGTCTTCTTGACAGGCTGAGGGGGGCCGTTTGGAGAGGACCGCTTTTTAGAAACTTGCACTTGTCTATCTTTCGCAATTGCTTGGGCGGCATCTGTGGCAAATCCTGTCGCGCTTTCATCCTTTGATGGACTCCGCCAGATGAAGCGATAGGGGCGTCCATGACACATATCCCGTGCAGTCTGAGACTCGTTTGTGCTGATGAAAAGAACGAAAAACTCACTTTGCTTTCCTTCAAGACGGGTCGATCCGGCACGGCTGTGATCAGGCGGATGTGGAACTCGTGGAAAACTCACATGCCCCCAGTTTTCGGAATGATGTGAGTTCTGCCAAACGCGTTGTCTGAAAAGATTTCGTTTAGAAAATCCGAGCAAACACGCCGCCAAAACACGCGTTTTCGTGACTTTACGGACAACCTTAGAGTATTACAGTACATGACAAAGAAGAAATGACACTGTAATTGACGACTTGTCGTTTTATTTTGCGTGACGTGGACTTGTCGTTTTATTTTGCGGACGATGGCTAACAAAAACGCAAGTCAAAAAAAAAAGAAAAAGAAAGAAAGAAAGTGTCGCCAGTCTTCCGATATATCTGGAAAAAGAGGACTGCACTGCGTACCAGGGTACCGTAATCTGCAGGGCTAGAATGTGCACTCGCCCTGCACGTCGTCTCTTTCTATCACCTCTCTATCGGTGAACTCAGCTAAATGTATCGTATGCTACTGTACGCAGCGGGTATTATAGTCGCAGAAAATGCATCTGACTTTTCATCGTCTGCCTTGTTGCCTAGTCACCACGCTCCCTCCATGACATGTCACAGTCTCTGGACAGTAGTACCCAACAAATGTCGCAACGGCCTTACTTTCTGTCCGGTAATCTCGGCATATTCTTCATCGCCGTAAACTGAATCCATCCAAAAGGCCACCCATGCCTCTTTGGGCTCATGAATCACGCGTCCCCAGTTGTGTCCCTCAATGGGGCAATCAGGCACTGGAGATTCTTCACCAATGTTAATTGTTACATCCTCTGGAAAGACCCGGTCTTTCACCATCCCAATTTTCTCGTCTAGCCCAAGAAAAATGCGTGGATGAGGAATTTCAAATCCAGAAACAAATTCCTGCTCTCCGTTAACGATAGCAAAACGGCACCTTTTTCGCAAAGATACCGTATCTTCGGTATCTTCCTCGTATCGGATTCCGCAGTGTCGCACGTATTTAAAAATCTTTGAAAAGTCACACTTTTCAAAGTCTATGACAGTGTTGACATCGGGGGATTGATCCTTTCTCATGGCCCTTCGCAACCCGGCCATGATATTTTTCTCAAACATTTTGATATCTCTAATTTTCTTCTCATCTACCTTGGCGTACATGGAGGCTACCTCCTCCGCGCACGGGCCGAGTCGCACAGGCTTGCCGTCGTACTGCATCGGCACGCGATGCGGAAGGTAGCGTGGAGGAAAGACGACGCCATTGTGGAGCAAGGTCTTCCAAAGGAGTTTGTCGGAATCTACCGTGTTTCCAGATGGTGTTGCTTCTGTTGCAGCTTGCAATGCCGTCTTGAACTTCTTGTTTCCTTTGGTCAACACCTTAGTTCGAAGCTCCGCGTCGTCTTTCTTGCTACCCTCAGTCGATGCACGCTTTCTTTTGCTACCTCTGGAAGAATTATGAATCGAATCACTACTCACTGCCCGCATTGCGGATATTTGAGTGTTCACAGTCATATATTTAAACTGAGCGCACGGGTCGGGGTGGCTTTTGGAGTGAAAATGATACTTGGTTGCTCTCTCAAATAATGAAACGTTGGTCTCACTTCTGACTAAGACGACACTGCTTCGTAGCTATACTGGGTTCCCCATTGCTATGAATTTCAAGCAGGTTTCTTGCGTCAATTGCTTCGAAGAGTCCGAATACCTCTTCAGCTTTATATCGCGAAAAATATGTGAATCACATGCAGGGCGATGCAACGGTCGCATGCAGATTGTCACGAAGTCCGTGAAGGACTTTATGAGTACTACACTTGTAATATTTTTTGACTACTTCGTAAATTGTTAGTGCTGAAAATTAGATGTCGAGCGGGTGGTTTTCCCAGTGCAGCTTAACTCTTTCTCCGGTGGTATTCACAACTAGGAAAAGCCTTTTGACGCTCGAAAAGACTTGTAGGCCACCATAAAGGCCTCTCGTGCCTATCTGACCGCGGCCCGTCCTCATTTGAGGACATACAGTAGGTTCGACATCTGGCTACGTAGACTGTAGCGGCTGAAATTAAATGTAATGATTTGGCCGGACAATTTGCATGCATATAGCATTTCCACGTGTTCACGTACGGTACCTTCGAAGGTACATGATACTCTTTCTGTTGGTGGCTTGAATTCACTGTGATGCAGTACAGTACCATGGGTAAACTTTACTGTAGTAAAGCAGAGCTGCAGCATGGTAACTGGAGTACAGCACACTGGACCGTACTTACTCTCGTTCAAAGTACCTATATCAAGGAAAAGGTGCAGAAAACCCATGACAAGGATCATGGGATGTGTTGAAGCACCGTTGTGAGACCAAGAATTTGCAATTTTGTGTGCATGCCCGCAGTGTAGGCATGTACACTGTTAACAAGTTTAACAACACATCAGGGTGGACTGACTAGCACATTTCATTCAGCCCCACTACCCTTGAAGGGTACCCTTGGGTAGTATGCCTCCACTATGTAGCATGTACGGTAGTTACTTTGCCACTTTCGCTGCCGTAGCGTTACACGCATGCATCAACGAACTGCAAAGAAGTTGTGTTAGAATTCGGTCATTGCTGGTCTTGCTGTGCAAATTTAACATGAGATCCGTTTGTAGTACAAAACGGTACAAACTTTGTACCGTACCCTTGGAACCGCAGGTATCCTACAAGTACGTGCGTGCACAAGTCTTTCCTCTCCAAGACCTGGCACTGTAAGTAGAAGGACCCCCTCTTCCGCTTGCAGTACCACTCGAAGGGTACTTCCTGCGCATACTGTACCTGTACCGAATTTTCGGTGTTGTACTGCACCGGTGGCCAATAATTGTTATTTTTTTGCACTACTGTATTAACTTCCTGGTTTATGTCACTTGATTGGGGGTTTCCAAATCCATGGATAAACGTCACTAAATGGCCTTTCGCTTGTGTTGTTGTGCATCCTCCTGGAACGTTGACCCTGACGTCAGCACACAGTGACAGCAGTTCAGTATAACAAGACTGAAAGCAGGACAGGAATCAGGCCAGGAACAAGTCTGTCCATTGCAGCGCCACCGCGCCTTCACACCGACTGACGTAACGCGCTCTGGTATTGGGTGATATCGGCAACTCACAGCAGATTATAAACTTATAAGTGGTGAGAAGCACCTTATGCAGGTGAAGAGCACCAAACATGCCAGAAGAGAAACGTGATGGCCAGTAGAACATGGGAGAACTCTCTTTCTGCTCCAATCCTGCCAATGTAAACTTTAGGGAGAACAAAAAAGTCCACTGGGTATCATCAAAGCTGATGTATTAGTACCCAAACCTTGCAGAGGTGGGTTCACAGCAGATAAATTTTCTATCTCTCAGAGGGAGATGACACAGAGATAGCATAAAATCATTCCATAGGGAGCTATCGTCTCTGTCACTCATGTACAATGTGCGCACGTGCGGTCTAGGTATTCCAAGGCGTCAGACTGTTGTGAACATCACCGACAAGAATAAGGACTTCTCACCGCGGTCTATCCTGCCGCGACGAACAACTCCGGTTTTCCATAGCAATGGCACTATACCTCTTCTGAAAGGATCCCCATCTGAAGCCATTTCCCACACAGACACTGCAGCAGAGGCCTAATCATCTACTTCTCTTCTTCCTACCACCTCATCGCAAAAATCTAGCTTATTCGCGGGGTGGCCACCCTCTCTGCACCGCGAGTTCCCGCAGCTCCGAGGCCCACAGTACATTCGTCTCGACTCCCTCCGCGCGGTTCACCAGGAAAGAACCAGCGGGACGATCGCTTCGTCATTATTCTCGCAGATCGCCGGTTGGAACGACTACATGGCCCTTTCTTCGTTCGTGTTGATTCTCTCCACACCCTTCATCGGGGGAGAACAGGGTAGGACCATGGCAGCGACGATATCATTCTCGCCGACCGCCCGTTTGAACAACTACACAACCAGTGCCGCCTTCTCGCATTGACTCCCCTCACCCCTTCTATCAGGAGTACTGTATACCGACATTGAACATCACTTCGATGTGAACATTTCTCCGTAGCCGCTGGCAAGGGAGCGGCGCACATGCGCACGTGGAGCGAGTCGTCTGCGCTGGAGCCATGCTCTGGCGTTGGAAAACGGCCATTGGTGCGCGCGCGACGTGCTTTGCCGTCTCAGTTGTTAAACTTGTATGCCAGGAGCAGAAACGTAACGCTTCCCACCATTCCATTCAATGACGGAAGCTAGCATTACTAATCTCACGCACAGCTCCCGCTGCCTCGCTGCCCGCCGCAACACACACACACACACACAACACACACACACACACACACACACACACACACACACACACACACACACACACACACACACACACACACACACACACACACACACACATCCCACATCCCACATCAACCGCTTCGGCTGACGGGAGCACACGTCGACATTACCCCTGCTACACAAGCACGACAGGGGAGGGCGCCCGGGTTCGTTGTCCGCCCGCTGGCAAAATTTAACCGCGTTGCCGTGTGTTGCCATCATCCAGCTGCGTCTGCAGAAATGGCAAAGCTAACTTCCTCATGACCTCCCTTCCTCTCTGCGAACAACTTAAAAGCCGCCCCCGCCGCCCGTCCCTTTCGTCTCTCCACCTCCCCGCCAACTCAGTAGCTTCAGTCCGGCAGTCACATCTCCCTCACCATGAACAAAGCCATCGTCGCTTTTGCCCTTGTCTGCCTGCTGGGCTCCGTCGTGGCCCAGCCTACCAGTGGCAACGGCCCGACCGACAGCGAGGCCTTCGACGGCGTCGCCCCCGATAGCGAAATCTTCGAACGCCGCACCAAGACTCAGTGTGACCCCCGCTTCCGTACCTTCGACGGCACCTGCACCAACGATGCCACCGAGCTGAACCGTGCCGAGGGCTCCGCAGGCCTGCCCCAGTTCTCCTACTTTCTCCAGAGCCCGCCTGAGCTCCTCTTTTCGGACGAACTCCCGTCCCCCAGGTTCATCTCCAACGGCCTCACCATGCAGACCATGGACATCCGTGAGCCGCGCGGCCTGAATGAGCTCGTCACCTTCTTCGGCCAGCTCATTGACCACACCTGCGCCTCCACCCCGACCAACAACGGCGCCGAGGGCACCACCGCCGAGCCCGCGTTCATCGACATCCCCGCCGACGACCCCATCATGGCCAATATATCTGGCTCTCAGCTCATGTTCTTCCGCTCTGAGCGCGAGGAGCTCCGCACGCGCCCCAGCGTCGAGCGCGCCATCAACATCCTCACCTCCGCCATGGATCTGGACTCCGTCTACGGGCCCAGTAAGGCTCGCTCCGATGCTCTGCGCTCCTTCGTCGACGGCGAGCTCAAGACCAGCGCCAACGACCTCCTCCCGCTCAACACCCTGGGCCTGTCCAACGAGCCCACCCCCTCTTCCAACTTCTTTGTCGCCGGTGACGCCCGCTCCAACGAGCACCCCGTCCTCACCACTCTGCACACCGTCTTCCTCCGTGAGCACAATGACATCGCTCGCGAGATCAAGGCCACCTTCCCAGAAATGGAAGACGAGGAAATCTTCAACAACTCCCGCCAGGTGAACATCGCCCAGTTCCAGAGGATCGTCTTCGACGAGTGGTACCCCGCCATCACCGGACGCACTCTTCCCCCTTACAGAGGCTTCATCCGCACTACTGACCCCACTGCCAGTATCCTCTTCACCACCGCCTCCTTCCGCGTCGGCCATACACTTGTCAACAACGAGATCACTCGCCTCGGACCAGGCTTGACTCCTATGAGTCCGCTCGACCTCACCATGACTTTCTTCGCCGGCGTGGGCCCGATCATAGCTGAGGGCATTGAACCGATCCTCCGCGGTGTCCTGAACACCGGTGCCCAGAAGATCGATCTCATGGTTGTTGACGCCCTTCGCAACTTCCTCTTCAGCAACGTCGAAGAAGTCATCGGCCTCGACCTCATTGCCCTCAACCTCCAGCGCAGTCGCGACCATGGCGTCATGTTGTACACCGACATCCGCCGTCGCTTCCGTCGCGGAAGGGAAGCCATCGTCAGGAGCTTCTCGGACATCTCCAGTGACCCCAACGTCCAGAGCAGGCTCCAGAGCGTCTACGGTGACGTCGACAGTATCGAGGCCTGGATCGGCCTCATGGCCGAGGACCATGCCCCTGGCAGCTCCATGGGCGCCACGATGCTCGCCATCTGGGAGGAGGAGTTCGGCCGCTTCAGGGATGGCGACCGCTTCTTCTACGTGAACACCTTCCAATATGATCCCCGCGTTCTCGCTAGCATCCCCAGGCTCCAAGCTGCCCTGGATGGAGAGGACACCATGAAGGCTCTCTTGCTCAGGAACACCAACATATCGCCCTCTGACATGCCCGACAATCCCTTCTTCACCAACTAATTGCGACAGGGATTCTAACGCCCTTTACAGGCGCATTTTCGAAATTAATTTTTTGATATTTTAACCATCGACACACTTTTTTTTC